CCGTCATGCACCCGTAGCGGGACTACAAAGGATTTTTCACAACCCATAGCCAGGTGGCAGGCGACACGTTTAACACTTCGGCTTTCCAAAAGAGCGGGCTTCACGCGCTTCCCAGTCCTTCAGTGAACGGCTTTTGCGAAGCAGTTGCATGAGCCGAACTATTCCTCAGGCCGAAGCTACTGCAGAAGGCAGCTCAAAAGCTCTAGGAAGAGAACAGCTCGCAATCTGTTTTCCCTCATGGCCGATGGTCAGAAGTATTAGGCCTTCAAGAAGGCTGCCCAGAAAGTGGCTCCATCAAAAGCCCAGGTACTTGCAAGCCGCAGCACGCGGAGGATGCCAACCTTGGCCAAGATGTTGTCTTGCATGTTCAGAAGGTTGAAGAAAAACTCCACATAGCCGCACATGATGATAACCTTCGGCGAATCAAACACAAACTGCAACCTGTCTTGGCACAATGGATGCTTTATGGACCTGTTGCCATCCAAAGCAGGGTGAATCTGGCAACAATGCCGGATCTGTCGAGACACACCAAAATTCCGAGGTCAAACTTTACGAACCGCGCAGGGTTGCGATAGGCACTTAGTGGCCAGCGGACTCTTCAGCCAAGGGGGTAGCATGTATCCGCCACCAGTCAGATGCCGTGTTCTAGTGCATAACCATGTTTGGGCTTGTCCACAATTTCCCGACCAATATCGCATAGCAATCCTGTGCACATTTACTCCCTCGTCCTTGCATAGTGGACAGGTTTGGGGCTTTCAGCCAGCTGCTGCCGGTCAAACCCCCAAGCCAGGCAAGAACAAAGCTCGAGGCAAGAAGAAGCAGAAGAGTGATGCATGCAGACGCATCAAAATGCGATCAAGAACAAGTCTTTCCTCAATTGGTGGTGTGGAGGTTCAGCTTTCCTTTGATCCAAGAAGCCATGTCCGTGATCACCATCCTGTCCCTGAGCAATTTCGGCCCCCGTGCAATGAAAAGCAGAGGAAGCTCAGCCGTGTAGAGGAACAGGCAAATGTCCGAGCATGTCCTCGGGGGAAGGGCACAGCCACAAGCACCTCGATTCTGGGCTCTCGGAATGGGCACGCGCCTTTTTGACTATTTGAAGGCTTCCTTCTGGATCGATCTGGATCGATCCTACATTCGAGTGATCGGTTTTCATTCTTCGGGTTTGCGGTGGCTTACCGCTAGCAGCAGGCGAGGACGCCTCTGCATTGGAAGCTGCGAAGGCCAGGCAGCTTCAGCCCCTCGAAGCTGTGCCGGAACCCGCCGAGCTTCAAGTTCTGCAAGGTGCTGGGCAAATTCACCCCCTCCAAGCTTTGGTTGCCCTCCGCGCTCAAGCTCTGCAGGCCTGCAGGCAACCTCACCGAAGCCAGGCTCCTGAACATGCTCCCCAGCACCAGGTCCTGCAAGCCATCCTGGGCTCGAACTCAGGACCCTCTGCACTGAAGTGATCAAAACGCTAACTGGCTAGCTACAAAATCAAAAGGTTGAAACCGAAAGAACCAAGCTTGCGAGTGTCTGGCAAGTTGATGCGCTCCAGGCTCTGGTCGAAGTGCAAGCCGAAAATGAGGCTTTGAAGGCTGCTGGGCAGCTCCACTCGCTCCAGGCTCTGGTTGAAGCATGCGCCAAATGTCAAGCTCTGAAGGCTCGGCAAGAAGACCCCCTCCAACAGTTGGTTGAAGTGGGCCCCGAAGGTCAAGCTTTGCAGGTTAGGGAGCTTGATGCCATGGAAGCTCTTGTTGAACTCGTGCCCGAAGCTTAACAGCTGGAGGCTGGTTGGGAGCTTCACATGCTCCAAGCTTTGGTTGAAACTGCGGCCGAAGGTCAGTTTCTGCAGCCTTGGCCAGTTCACGTGATCTACGCTTTGGTTAAAGCCGTCTGCAAAGGACAGGCTCTTCAGCTGTGCAGGCAAGTTCGCTCGATCAAACCTTTGATTTCTCAAGCTTCCAACCTTCAAGCTCTGCAAGCACTTTGGCCAGTTCACCCGCTCCAGGCTCTGGTTGAACTCAGACCCCAAGGTCAGGCTCTGCAGGTTGCTCGGAAAGTTCAGGCTCTCCAGGCTTTCATTAAAATCGTCGCCAAAGGTCAGGCTGCGAAGGTTGGCCGGGAAATTCACGGAGCCCAAGTTCTGGTTGAAGCAGTAGCTGAAGGTCAAGCCGTGCAGGGCGCCTAAGGCGCTGAGCACACTCAGCCGCTCCAGGCTCCCTCTCAAGGCACCTCCCAGCGCAAGACTCTCCAGCTGGCTGGGGAGCGGGAACTCCAAGCCCTGGTCAAACCCCGCGCCAAAGGTAAGGCTGGAAAGGTTGGGGGGGAGCCGGACCTTCTGAAGGCTCTGGTTAAAGCAGTGCCCAAAGGTTAAGCTCCGAAGATTCTGCGGCAGCTCCACGTTCTCCAGACTTTGGTTGAAGGCGTGCTTGAAGGTCAGGCTCCGCAGGTTTCCGGGGAGCTTCACCCCTTCCAAGCTTTGGTTGAACCAGTAGCTGAAGGTCAGGCTCTGCAGTCCACTCGGAAAAGTCACGCCTTCCAGGCTCAAGTTAAACTGAAAGCCCAAGGACAGGCTCTGAAGGCTGTTGGGCAAATTCGCTTGTTTCAAGCTCTGGTTGAAGTGCATGCCGAAGGCCAAGCTCTGCAAACAGTTTGGAAACTGCACGTGCTCCAGGCCGTAATCAAAAATCTCTCCAAAGGTCAGACTGCGCAGACTGCTTGGCAGAGTCACGCTCTCTAGGACCTTTCGATTCCCACAGGTTATCTGTGTGAGACCTTCCAAGGCTGCTTCACTTCCCTCCAAGGCAGTGCCACTCAATATCCTCCACGCTTGCAACCTTGGCATCTCTCACTTCGAAATCAGAAGAATGGCTAGCCCTCATGCCTCACAAAATATGCTTTTCGGACGGAGTGCGCTTGCCAACCTATGCTGGTTCAGCTCAGTTTGGGAGCTGGTCAGTGGGAATGTGCATGTTTGGGAATATTCCTTCCGGACAACCATCACGATTTGCCCAAGGGCTTGTCGCAAGGCTTTTCAGGCCGAGGGGACCACCTCAGGGCCCCCTGGAACTCATGAAGCTAGGCCCACCACACATCCACCTGAACGTAGACATACTGCAGGGTGCTTGAAGTGACACCCTGCTCCTCCAGCGTCTTAGATAGTGAGAGCCGCCGATTCTGGTGGAAAAGCGCCGGGGTCGCACCTGAGCCACGGTCGGAAGTTACTGTTACCTTGAACCTCGGAAAAGGAAAAAAAACATGGGGCTCCAGCCTGGGTGTTGGAGGGAATTTAGTGCTTGTTCCCCGTGTCCCGTCCTTAAATGTTGGCCCCAAAAAATATTGAGAACCCCTCAGCATGTCTGGCCCCTGTATTCGGGACCCAGCAAGTTTGGACTTTTCGGATTGAGTCAGCTCACCTGGTCTGGGCGGCAGCCTGGAGCGCACCAGCCTCAACAGCTCTCTGGCTAGGCTCGCCTCTGGCAGGGTGAAAGTCAAGCTATGGCCGTCGAGGCCCGCCACCTGAAGCTCCAACATCCATCAGATCCATCCATCTCGGGCCAGCTCTTGGCTGCGGATCTGCGAAGGCTTCAGAGAAAGACGGAAGAAGAAGCCTCAACGAGGTGTGCGTTCGTGTGTTCAAGGAACCCCCTCCAGCAGCCTGGTGTTATTGGTGGCCTATGCCAACTACCCAAACCTCCCTCACTTTCACAGAACAGCCATCAACTGTCTGCCTGCACGGAAGCCTTTAACCCGGTGAGAAAGGAGGGATCTTGTTTCCCTCGTTCGCCACTCCTTCGGCCCTTACCCCTCAGCTTGAGAGTGAATGCCTGCCTCAATTGTCTGGCAACCCTAGCGCAAGGCCGCCACTCAAACGATCGGACTGAATGCGCGTTCCAAGTGTCAGGATGAACTGGGATGTAGGCACCCCAGCGGCACGGCTGTCGATGTCATTGGCCGTGCAGTAAGCATCAAATAGCACTACCACGGCAAGGAAGTTCGCCGTGTAGTTGCCTCATGCAAAGGTGGCTGCACAGTTGGCCTTCCATTGCGACCCAGGCCTTCCACCAGGAATTTGATCCGCGTCACCAGTGAACCACACTGCGACTTGTCCTCTTCCTGGCATGCCAAGGTGCGTCAGACATGCGTCAGCAGACATGACGAAGACATGGATCTGTCACCAAGTGGGATAAGTCTCACATGCGAAATGCAATGTGCATCCAGTAGCCACGCACACGCACACACACACACACACCACGCACACACGCACGCACGCACGCACGCACGCACGCACACACACACACACACACACACACGCACAGAAACCGACACAGACACAGACACAGACACAGACACAGACACAGACACAGACACAGACACACACACACACACACACACAGACACACACACACACACACAGACACACACACAGACACACAGACACACAGACACACAGACACACAAACACACAGACACACACACACACACACAAAGAGAGAGAGAGAGAGACACGCGCACGCTCGCGCGCCGCACGCACACGCCAGATATAGTTCTCAAAAAGCAAGACGCACATCGCAAGCTGGTCTATTGAGTCACCTTCACACAATACTTAGACGATTGTAAGAAACACGATGAGACACGTGGGAAAAACACGCGTGACCCGCTCACTGCTGCAAGAAAATACTTGACGCAGATAACAGATCAGAGAACAGTTGGGCAGAGCACATCTGTGCAGCGCAACCTCGCTCGGGGCACGTGCACAGAAGACACTCGCACAATGCAGCTGTGTATGCACACCGACTCCAGGCACACTTGGCACATTGCACCCTCGAGCTTAGCACAGCTGTTCAGCCAAGCAGGCTCGCGCAAACCGCATCAAAGCCTTGCGAATCCTCCGTGAAGGCTTGCAAAGAATCAAAGAGCAGTGGTACGCAGCGCACGTGAACGAAATACATTGAACAGACGCATGTGATTTACAAGGACTGTGTGCCATGCTACTTGGGCGATGTCAGCCTGCGGGGAAGCAGCCCGGTGATTACAGCAACAAAGAACAACAAGTGTCATAATTGCAGCGTGCAAAGTTGGGAAGGGACAAACCCAAGCCTCGCCTGAAATTTCACTTCTTCGTCGGAGACGATGAATCTTCCCATACTGGGGGATCGCCTCTTGAAAGAAGGCCTGAGCCGCACTGAGACACGAAAATGCAAATATATTCTTGGGGGGCCCTGTGGTGAACATCATTGACATGGGGTTAGTGTCCAACCATCTTTGAGGGCGTGTGCCTTTGAAAGCAGAAATAGTGGCATAGCTAAAAGGTGAGACACTCCATGTCGCAAGTGTTCCTAGTTCAGCCAGAAGACATCATGCCATCCTCTTCGAAGGAGCGCAGGTCAGACTTACGACACGTCAGCGCCGGAGATGGCGCCTGATCTCCATCGGCCTAAGGGCTAGACTGAGAGGCCGAATGGCAGGGGTGTCGAAACCCCGGCTTTACCGTTGACAGCCCCAAAAGCACACGCCAAATACGAAGTGAGGTTTGAGCTCCCGACCGACAAGCTCGGGACCGCCACGACTGGCTGCATGGGTGCTGTCCACCGACATCACACTACACGAACCCTAGAGCCGATTGCTGCACAGTTGGATGAGCACAACTGAGGCCTTGCCAGAAAACACCCTGGCTCCCAACCCCTCCAAGGATTCATGCGGCGGCTTGCATGTCATGGCCTGCTGTCCAAGTTACGGCTCCTTCTCTGCCTCTGACCCCACGGCATTTCTTGAAATAGATGAAGGAACCTTGCTTGGCTTCAGCCGGGAATTGGATTGGCACAATCACAATTCACAAATCCCTGGGCCTTATATGATATAAACTTATTTGGGTGGGTCAATGCTTTAGGGGTCCTTGGTTTCCCTTTAAAGCTACCCAAACCCAGATTTCACTGGGATGCCTCTGCAGGTGCTTCCACATACCCTGCACTAACAACCAACCACTTTCGCGGAACCTTTCGCGATGCTTCCGCGGTCACACGTTAAACTTTCGCAGGCATCTTTTCTAAGGATCGCTTTCGGGAATGCTTTCGCGGTGCAATTGGAGCTGTGCGCGAACCTTTCGCGGAACTCGGCCGTTGCAAAAAACATTTAGCATTTAGCATGTGTCGTCAAAATATGTTCTTACGTTGCACTTCATCGCTCAACATTTAGGAAAGTCCTTTTTTGCGCACATGGCTAGCAGGCCTTGTCAAACAGAAGGCAAAAGTGCTCTTGGTGTTAGCAAGCAGCTCTGTTGGCCGCGTTCCCGAGCTGATAATGAATGTCCAATATGATGGTTGATGATGACAAAGGAGGATGAATGATGATGATGATGATGACGATAATGAGCGTGCGCTCGCGCGCTCGGCGCCGGCACCGCGCGCGCTCACGAGCCCGAAGTGGGAGCCGAAACCTGCACAACAACTGCAAACATGCACATTCGCGACGCCTGCGCGGGCAACCGCTTTCGCCGCAAGCTCTCACGGGCGTTGGCGCCCTGCGCTTTAGCTTTCGCAATTAACCCGTTTCATAAGAGGTTTTGGTGCTGCTCATGTGCAGCCTTCCTGCTTGGGTCTTCGCTATCGCCTATTTGGGCCTATGGAAGGCTGTGGGGAGGCGACAAGCTATGAAAGGTCTCCGATAGTGTCGGAGGGCCTGCGCAGTCGACTACAGACCGAGGTTTTCCGAAAAATATCTCAGTTGCGGAACCCAAGGGTTCCGTACTCCAAGCACTCTTCTACGGACAATCATACTCCGCAGATGTGCCTCAAGGCCTTTGCAAAGTTGGACTCTTCCCGCAAATTCTATCCCAACGGGCCACAAAACTCTGCCCATGATCCGCCGAGGTGCACGGGAAGGAAGGCTGGCAATTATAATAATAATTTTCTCATTTAATCAACTTGCATTATAATAAACTGTTCAGGTCGTGATTGCTGCTGGATTCCTATCTTTTTGAAATATTATATAGGATTCAAAAGTCAGGATAGGCGCTTTTCATTCTTGGTTTGAGGCTCATTTCGGCTCGAAACCTGCGCGTGTCTAGGCATTCCGTTTTTTTCCTTCAAATGTTGTTTTCATCAACACCCATAAACCGATGTGTAGGGTGTGGATATGCTTCCAAGCAACGTCCGTCTCCTCGCCGGGGCTCTGCGCTACCTGCGGCTCACATCCCACAGGCATTCATGCTTCAGAACCCGCGCCTCTTCCGCCAAGGCACTCTCCACACCCTCCTTGTTTGCATTGCCCAACCATCAAAGCGAAGGCTCTTCAGAAACTGCCTCATTCCCATGCCCCGTAAGGCCCCCCATGCCAAGCTGCAGGTTGGCGTGGGGTCCTAAGGCTGCGCGATAGCGGAATGATAAAGCTGCACAGTCACAAAAGCTCCGTGCCAAGCGACTCTGACAAAAGGTTAGGTACACCGTAAGTGTAGAGAGCCAGCAGGCCTTGGCTTGGCGAATCTTCGCACATCCTCGTCTGTGTCCCCTTCCTTTTGTCAGCTCGCCATGTTGATCAGGTCCTGTCACATCTCGCCCCTGTCCCAGCATGCCATCTCTAGCTTCGCCTCTCACCTCGCCTCGCGTTGGCTCTGCTTTCCTTGCCCTTTCCACATTGATTTCTCTTGGCCCCTTCCGCCAAGCGTCCAACGCTGCCCGGCAGCATGGCCATGGTGAAGAAGCCCGGGGATTGGCATTTCTTCTTCCTCATGCATTAGGCTGCCAGCTTCCCAGCTTGCACGACCTAAGTCGCAAGGCTCCCCTGTTCTCCTTGCATTGAACCCCCCGGCCCCCCCAGCCACAACAAACGCCACTGCTCTCCTTGGCGCGGGGCAATGCTCTAAGCTCCAGCAGGGGGTGCAAGCCCAACAGGCATGAGCGATTCGCTCAATGGCCGAGCCCTTGTGACTTCTGGCTTGTGATGGCTTGAGGCCATTTGGGATGGGGCGGCTTGTGGTGGTGTCATCGTCTGTCAGCCATCAGTGGTGATGGCTATTTGAAACTTCTGCGCTTGAGCCCGCAGACTAGCAAAGCAATCTGGGACGTAATGTGTGGCCTGCTTCAAGATTAAATCGGGCTTAGGTTTAGCTGTAAAAAAATGTCGGCCAGGGTTCTGTAAAGAAATTGATTTTTGGGGCCGGCTTCTCAAACGAATCAAATCCCCAGGTCTGAGCCTAAGCCAAGCTCAGAAACATAGAGCGCTGGGCCGTCATCTTTTTCTTTAAATTACACCAGCAGAGACCCCAAACAGTTGAGGGCTGACGGGCGGGCACAAACATGCCAACAGCTTGTGGCTTTCTGCGCTTCAACACGGATGAATCAAAATGATGCAGTCGTGAACCTGGCGCGCGTTGCGTTGCTGCACGTGTGTTGCTGGCATGCTTCGCGCTTCAGCACCGCGCCAGAACTGAGGTTGGGCAAGCGCGCGCGATGGCGGGCGAGCGCGCGCGCGTGAACGCAAGTGTGGCCGCGCAAGCACGCAGTCACATGGGCAGTTCAAACACACATGTCCAATTCAGACACACATGTGTGTACACGTGGAACACACATACGTATACGACTGAAACAGTATACATTCACCTGCGGCACACGCATAAATGTGTTGAGCTGGAAAACAAACATGTGCTTCTTGGAAAGCACACACACACATGTGCAAACGTGGAACGCACATATGTGTTCACTTTCGACACGCTAATGCGTTCACGTGGAACACACATGTGTGTTCACTTGGAACACAATGAAACGCGTGTCCAATTCAGACACACATGTGTGTACACGTGGAACACACATGCGTTCACTTGGAACACAAAGACGCGCAATTAAAGCACACATGTGTGTACGCGTGGGACACACATGCGCACGCGGAGCAGACACACACACACACACACGCGTTCATCTGATAACAAACATGTGTCCTCCTGGAACACAAACACGTGTCCAGTTAGAACGCACATGTGTGCACGCGCGAACACACAATGTGTGCCGTGAACACACATACAAAAAAGTGCACGCGGAGCAGACACACACGCACGTGTTCATCTGATAACAAACATGTGTTCTCCTGGAACACAACCGTGTGTCTAATTGGAACACAGACGT